AATCACTGTGGTTCCAGCGGTGCAATATTTGAATAAACTTACTAGCTTTTGCTTCGGTTATAACGTTCTGTTGTCTTTCAAAATTAATTTATATAAAACCGAAAAATAACATAAAACGGTAAGCCACTTTCTGATTTTGCTGAAAGCGCAATCAATACAGAAGCAACAACAATTCAAGTTGTTATGGTATGCTCACTATTTTCAAAATACAACGAAATTATTGGTACCAGTACTTAATATGACTGCTGAAGATGAATTAGATATATGTATAATATAAGCAATTAATTAATTATTCAAATTTATAATAATGCACATTCTATAATATGTGTTCTTTTGTACAGTATGCAGAAAAGGTTAATGATTTTAAACAGTGTATGAAATTTATGATCGAAAAAATAGTGTTCAAGGAAACATTAGCATTACTATTATGAAAATACATATTGAATCTATAATTATGCCATACTTTAATTGTGTAATATTAAAAAAACACTAAATATTTTTATTGATTGCAAATTGAAGTTTTATTGCTTTTCGTTTGGTATCTATTCTTCCAAACACTGTGTAATTCGCGTTTTTTTTTTTTTTTTTTTTTTTTTTTTAAACAAGGAGAATAAATCTGTCCAACTGTCAGTCAGTATTATCCGAACTTCTAGGCAATGGCAATCACCCAAAAGAAATGCAATTCTTTTGGGTGATCTGTGTTTGGCTCTGTAACTGCTTTTTGCAATAAAACAACATATACGAATGATACTGGAAGATCTGCTAACAAACTGTGCATATATAGATGATTTAGTGCCAAAACGTTTACCCAACGAAGCTATGTTTGTATCATCCTAATCTCAAGTCAGAAAAGAGAACTTCTGAATTGATGCCAAGAAATGTAGGAGTGGCAGGCAACAGCAATGAGCTTATGTAGTGTTTAATATGTTTCATTCATTAACATGAAATAATATAATAAATAAATAATCTCTGGTATTCTCAGAGATTTCACTTCATATTTTTACTTTATTGCTATGTTTTGCATACTTATAGCAGCTAAATATATTTACTATTAAATATCTATAAGAGAACACCCAATTTGATATTTAATCGATAATGTTGAAAATATTTCCGTATGGTATAAAACAGTTATTGTATGCATTTAGTGTAACTACATTAAGTGCCTAGATACTGTATTCGTTTTTTAAAAACAGAACATTCTCAGTAAAAATCCTTCCCAATAGAATGGTGACATTACTTCGTAGGTCTCACAATGAATATAAAGAATTAATATTAATTATATTTATATTAATCACACTTATAATGAATAAATATTATTTATACTTGAAAAAATTTAAAGTATTCCTTTGATCCCAATAAGAAATGGAAGACAATTAAAAATTCTTTATTAAAAATCTTCAGTAGTTGCTGCCATCCTATTTTTAGAAAGCTAAATTTCCTCAATAGCCTTCGTTTACCAATATGGCTTTTATGAATGGTACAAAATACATTCAAATGCATTACAGACCTGACTGTATGACTTAAATTTGGTAAAAGAAGTTGTAATATTACCACGGTAAATCGTTTCTTCATTTAGATTCATGTGCCATAATTATAATTAAGAAGAAAAGCAAATGCTGATAATTTTTTTAAAGCTTTCTTCTTGGTAATCCAACTGCTAACCTCGTAATTAACTATTACTAATTATTTCAGGTCACAGTTCATATCAGAATTAAGACAATATCTTAAGTTCTATTTAAAATGAGAGCTTAGTTGGCCAATAAGGATATGTTGTCAAAGCAAATCCTTCTCATTGACGCACTGAGGAGAGAAACAAAATTAAGGTATCATTATATGATACAACTGAACAATTTTAAAAAAGCAAAATTCCGATTTGAAATAATCATTAAAGTAATTGTTGTTTTTGAGATTTATGTAAAATTTCGATTAGTATAACGCTCGTTACGACATTTTAAACCAAAATTTAGTATTCGCTCGTTACGACATTTTAAACCAAATTAAAGGAAAAGCATGGAATCACGATTGTTTTATTTTATCTTTATATACTGTTATCCTTTGAGCTGCAGTTTACGAAAGCATTTATCTTCAGTCAAATATTTAAAGAAATATATTTATAATCTGTTATCCTAGTTTGAAAGGTGCATTCGGTTAATAATAGGGCAGAGAAAACATTCTATAGGATACTAGATGAATATTCGTTTAGACTAAGATGGGATTGTTATGTATCTTATGTATATTTGAAAAGTAAAAATAAATATAGCGTAATTCTATAAAAAGTTTAATCAATTTAGTTATATCATGAATTAATTGCTTTAATTTTACTGAATCAGATCCGAAAGTACAAAAGTAATATTCTTAAGAATTGCATCCGTTGCTTTTAAACAGCTTAGTTTGTTCATCAAGATTAAGCAGACAGATTAAATTTGAAAGATATTACATTTTGACGAATGTCAACAAATTGAATGAAAGGTAAAACGACGCATTAAAGTCGACTTTTAAGTCAGCAAGGGGGCTTTTCCCGATTCATTGAGGTGGCAAACGATCGGATGGATGGAAATGGGAAAGTCATCAGCTGATGCTGCTGGACGTCTCAGTGTCTCTCGTAGGTATTGGTTGTCCACCGACTATGAAATCAGATTGAATTCGACGATTCTGTGTCTAGAAGACATGTTCCAGGCAGACCTAGAGTTACAACATCTGCGGGATACCGTCATTTGGCTCTTTTGGCCCGAAGGAGGAAAGGAGGAGTACCATTACTGTGCCTCAGCTCATGGCAGATCGTTTAGTGGCAACAGGAACAACAATCTCAGCTACTACAGCGCGCAGACGCCTGCGCAATACAAGTCTGCATGCAATACGACAAGTTGTTTGTGTCGCCTTGACTCGAGGACGCAAAGGTGCCCGTTTATTTTGGACAAGAGAACACGTCTACTGGACCAGTCAACAATGGGCGTCTGTTCTCTTCGCAGATGCGTCCAGGTTCAAATTGAAGAGTGATTCATGTCGTCAGCTGACCTGAAGGGAACAACGCACCAGGTACAACTAATCCCATACTGTGGAACACAGTTACAGAGATGGTAGAATAATAGTTTGGGCTGTGATCTCTCTCGATGGTCACACTGACCTGCATGTGTTCCATGGAGTAACTTTGGCCGGGGTGAGATATCGAGACAAGATCCTTGATCAATATGCCTGCACATGTGCCGCTGCTATTGGTCCTGGATTTCTTCTGATGGACGACAATGCACGACCGCACCTTGCTCGGATTGCTGAAGAATATCTTGAGGGTCACGGTATGGAGCGGATGGAATAACCAACTCAATCTCCAGACCTGAAGCCGATAGATCATCTTTGAGACTACCTTGTAGAACAGGTTGCTGCTTTAAGTCCTCCAAAGTCAGATGAGCCTGAGCAAGGATTACTCCGTGTCTGGTCGATGCTTCCAATTTCACTGTCCGGTAACTTAATTGACAGCATGGAACGTCGCTGCCGCCAATGTATTGCAGCTAGGGGTGGACGCATTCCTTATTAAAAGCCATTTTTGTAATGTTACCACTCCATCTTTCTTAAAAAAAACTGTGAAACACTCTTTTTCCAAGACTTAATTTTTCTGCTAAGAGTGCAATTTTTTGATGTAATTCACGTTTGTGTTGAACTTTAGAAAATTTCTATATCTCTTTCATTAAAGAACTGTTTAGTGAATATGTCTTCTAAATTTCTGGTTTCTATGTTGCTTCATTCTCAAATCAGACGCAAAAACATGCTGTTCCTTAAATTTTGGAGGGCAGCGTATTTAAATGTTTACAGAATAAATGTAATTGGCAAAACGTTTCTCCTCGTTTAATGTGTGTAGAAGACGTTCTCTGACTGACACTTAATCAATGAACTGAATATACGCTCTTTAATACTAAACTGCAGAATTCTTGAACGCACTAACATTTTATTATAATGACGACAACAGGTAAATTTCCATGCAATTTAATAAATATGACAAACCTAAATTTTAAGATAAATTTTGAGAAAATTTGCATGAACACCATCCACTTTAAAAAATTAATATACATTTTACTTCATTTCTAGATAAGTAGGAGTAACCACTTAAGAAAGCAAGACTTGTAATAAAAGAAATTGCCTAAACTTTTAAATAGATTTTTTTTAAATAAAGCTTCTTTAGTAGAAAAGAAAAATCAAAGAAGCCTTATGGAAAATTAAAGTTCGGAAAATTATGCGCAATGTGGAAGTTTTGTACTCATATCTAAAATATTAATTATGGAAATTAATAATTAACTTTAAACTGTTTTGGAGTAACATCAATTGTTTAAAAAATCTTTCTTCGAGTTTATTTGATATTTGAGTACACGTTTTGCATTCTATATTTGTGCACATATTACTTGCATGCAGACGTGAAATATTAAGCTGAAACTTGAAGGATTACAGCATGCAGGATTACTTTATTTTCAAAACCTTAGTCGATTTTCATTAAACACCTCATATAATGAAAATCGAGTAAGTTACATTTTCAAAATTTGCGAGAAAATTCCACTTTTTTCCCCCGTGGTGTCTCTCTTCATGAGTCATAAATTCAAAGATCGTTTCATTTCAGGAGTCAAGGTTGGGAGAGCATTAGAATTTCAAAGCAAAACTTCAAGATTTCTTAGAACATAGAAATAACATTTATTAACGGTAAACTTATATTACTTATATTACTTCCGCCTATAGCGGCCATGAAACATAATCAAGCATCAAATAAATATAACATGCGTCATTGTTCATGTTCAAGCGTCAAGTGGAATATTTTTCATCGGCGCGCATCAAGAGCGCCACCTATCTACCAAAAAGACGGAACACCCCGTATTATTTAGTTAAGCAACTGAATTCCATTAAGGAATTCAAAATACTATTTTCATTTTAGAGAAAAACTTCAGACACTTCTGAATTTAAAAGCATATTTTTTAATGTTCTTCAAACTTGCATTATATTTAGATTTATCTATTTCTCAGGATTACTGAGGGATGAAATCGAGGAAGATGCTAAGAAAGCATTTCAATCCTACGTGAGTGTTGTTCCTTCCGCCCCGATCGGATTTGAAGACTTTAGTCAGAAAGTAAACATGTATATGCAGTTACCGCCTTTCAATTTTCCCAATCCAGCTAGCACCTTCGGAGGGAAAAAGAAGGTTTACTCTCTTTATTTATTCATTTATATACTTTTTATCTTGAACGGAATAAATATATAAACACTAAGCAAATATCTCTATAGGTAGGACATCTTTTGCTTTGATAATGCTGCATCAAGTATAGAAAACTTATAAAGTTTGAAGTTCAGATTGTTATGTAATTCGTTTTCATGCATCTTATGTTTAAAGTATGAGGTTATTTTAATGCATGAACTTAATATAATAGCAGTATACTTGATATACTTGGTATAATAACATAGTAATGATATAATCAGGACCTTTTAATGTGATGTGTCATTTAAAAATCTACGTAAGCATGCTTTGTTCTTATGATGTTTTTATTATACTTTCTTTATTGTTATAATTTATTTAGATACCCGCAGGTGGTGCTTATTTGTATGATGCAGTCTACGTGTATGGTCGAGCACTTAACGAATGCCTTTTAAATAAGCAGGATCCGTATGACGGCAGAGGAATAATGAAATTCATCACTAAAAGATCATATATGAGTAAATCTTATTTTCTTATTTTGATTTCTACTTTTAATAGTAATAAAGCAGTTCAATCTATGATTAAAATAATTACAGTATTTTGATTTATTCTATTTAGAAATACAACAATGTTAAATTGTTTTCCCTAATTAAACAAAAGTAAGTTAATTTAAATTTACTAAGCTACTATCTAAACTTTATCGTAAATAATTTGAACTCTTATTTTTCTGATAAATTATGTTCAGTTAATAATAAATAAGATTAAATGTTTCATTCACCTTATTTCACCAAAAGCACAATGGACCAAAAGGTTTTTCTGTTCAGATTTTCACAGGATAAACGTTGGCCAGTTTTCAATAGATTTTAAAGTAACTGAATTTTTGACTGGACATGGAAATTTTAAGGGCTATTTAAAGCGATTTGGAATTGCTTTAAGTACTTTGTGGAGCTGTGGTATAGGCGATGAAGACATTAAGCTGTTCTTCTTGAGTGCAATCATCATGTCCAGCAGCGGATGATACTTCAGGCAAATTTGAAGGACCTGTCTGTATCTTGTCCCCTAATTTTTCTGACCGTTTTCGTACTAAAAGGAACTATCTCTGCTTTTCGGGATTTCATTCTCAGTTTAGATTGCTGAGTTATCTTCATTTTATTCCTTTTTAAATTTTTATTCGTCCAAAATGGCAATTTGCCCAAAAGGACTATTAATTTCGTTTTGGCATTTTGCGTCGATTCACGATAAGCGTTGTTTCACTTTTCAAATTGTTGCCATCAACTATTATCGCCCTGTATTATATTTAAAGAAATTAAATAATGAAGAATCTGCGTTAATGTATGTATGTTTACATAAAACGTCAAAATTTGAATAATGCAATCTTCCATAGAATATGGGCATGTGGAAGTCCTAGTTTGAATTTGTTTTATAATCGATTTCATATTTTGTAGCACTTCGTATTTTTGATTAACAAGCTCAACAATTTCAAAGCGAGCAATGGCAACACTGCATGAAAAAAAAAGACATTTTTATCTCCAGCGCGCAGGACTCTGTATCGGAAATTATAAAGATATGCTCATTTTAAAATTATTTTGCGCGATCTGATTGAATTTTATGCTTTAAATGCGAAAACATGATATTTTATAAATAAAGGTAACACACAAAATGTTAAAAAAAACGCTCCTTTGGACATAATTTAAAATCTGAAACCTCTCAGATTTTTTATTACATTTTCTTGTTACTCAATGTTATTAATTTAATAATTTTTCCCCATAGCAGTCCTATTGTACATTTGTTTATTTGTTAGTGCTAAAGCATACCTATGCAAGCCTCATGGTATAATTTGTGAAACATTATGAGTGAAATTCGAGTTAACAAAACAAAATGCTTTCGTTGCTTATAAACACGCATTTCCCTTATTTTCTCATAATTCAGAAATACATGAAATTTTTTATTTTATAATAGCTCTGAATTAAAAAAAAAATTGACGAACATTTTACTCTTATTCAATAGTTTATCTTCATAGTTTGACTTAAAACTTCTCGTGTAGTGTCATAAAAATAATGATACATGTAAGATAAGATATATTTTAAGATAATGATAAGATATAATATAAGATAAGATATAGTGATATATTTTTAGAATAAGTTTTATTTAGTAAGATAAAAATGTTAGTTCATAAATAATGCCAGGGCAAAACAGTTTCAAATTAATCAATTGAAATTATTCATCAATTAAATTTAATTTATTATCTAAATGAAATTAGAGCTTACTTGGCTCGTTTGAATCAAATTGATTGAAATTAATATAATTCACATTATTGTTCAAACTTTTGCGGAGACAAATTACAATACATCAAACGTTTGCAGAGAAACTGGAGAGCGACATAGTAATTAATTTTAATTTTGGTTTTTAAAAACGTCTAGAGAAAAAGAAGTCTTCGTTTTCTATCAAAAATCTAACTAAAAATTAATTGTACCATAATTTAATGTAATTCTAACGATATACTGATATTTTATTTAAAAAGGTAATAAAAGCACTTCATGAGCTCACATTTTAGTTAAGACTATATAGTATAATGCAAAGGTGGTCACAGCGCATCTTTCGCAGGCGAGTGATGAAGCTTTCTTGCAAATGAAATGCATGTAAACTAAAAGTACTCAGTGTCAAAATGAAGTAATTATTTTATTTCATTTCGTTTTACAAAATCTTCAAAAGTTTCTTTCGATTTAAAATCTATTTCACTATTTCTAAAATGATATAAGTGTGGACTTGTGGCTTTTGGAAAATCTAGTTGCGGCTCTCGAACTTTCCTGAATTTGAACATCCGGCTGTCACTGACAGTGATGTTAAGCCCCCCTTGGCGTGGTGCATTCTCTAGATTTGCACTATAGTAGGCATAGAGCATGCCTGAGGAATACAATGTTGGTACGCACTATAAGCATAGTCTATGCTAACTTTACTTTATAACATGCCATAATCCTTATCTTGATTGTTTTAGCATTTAATTCGTAAATATATTAATGCTACGATTTTCTCACAGGTGCTATGGGATACATGGTTTACATGGACCAAAATGGTGATGTAGAAGGCAATTACTCATTGATATCTCGAAAAGAAGTTCCTGGAAAATTAGGAGAGTATGGATTATATCCCGTTGGCGTTTTTCAGCTCTCGGAGAATCAATCGACTTTGCCCGTAAGTTTTCTAGCAAACCATTGTGGCATTTGTGACATTTTTTTTAGGTTTTCATTTACAATTTAAAATTTTTAATGTATAAAGCGCCTGCATTTAAAAACTGTAAAACTTATTTTTTTTAGATGAAATTTTCCAATTCATATGGATTTTTAGTAACAGGAAACTTTAAATGTAGGAAAGCTCATTAATGTAAGCTAGCGTGCTATAATGTAATAAGTTAATGTGATCGATTAAACTGATAATATATCCAGTTTTATGAATCGTAAATCACCCCATATTTCAATATTTAGTATAAAAAAACCACGTTAACGGGAAACCATATTTGTACTTAATGTTTGGCATTGCTCTTTTTACTTCCCTGTAAAACTTAGAAATTTTTTTATTAGCAAACTCTACGAGCTGAAAGAGAGCAGTGGGGAACACTTCTCGAAATAAAGTAGACTTTTATCTTCAGCATGCGAAACTGTTGCCAGTCGGAAAAATGAGGGCGAAAATTAGCGTTTTCAAAGTTTTTAATTAATATTCTTTTTTTTTTTTTTTTTTTTTTCAGTAGACGTCGAGCTTTTCGAGGACCCAGAAAAGACATATAGAAAGTTTGGTGACGATAGCTATAGACAGAGTGACTGTGAGTGACTGGGTATACCGCGATCAAACCAATAGACAAAATTTTTTTCTTTATATATATATATATATATATAAATGTCATTTTTATATATGTGTCATCGAATTTTTCAGTGTAAACAGCAGAAAAAGAAACAGGAGTATTAAAATTCAAACAAAAACATTTATATAGGTGTTGCATGAATTGTCTATTTTAAATAACGCAAGGAAATTATCGGAGAGGAAAATTTTAATTTGCTTTATCATTAATTAAACAATAAGATATTTATGCATTCAAAAGCAAAGCAATTTTTCTAAAAAAATATAATTATAAAAAAAATAGGTTCCAAGAGTCAAATTCGGGTGACCTCACTCCATTTTATTTTTGCTTTGTACTTAAGAGTATTCTGCGATTTGATCGTTGAATTAGGCCTATTGACATCTTTATAAGATTTTGGAATTTATTTGTTATTTCCTTATTTTCCTTTGATTATTAACGTATTTAATTTTCAATCCCTAAATGTTCATTGTGCTTGGTGAAGTCCGTGCTTGAGCCTTATCTTCAAGGTTGCGTGGTGCCATCTTTCAATAGGATACTCATATTGCCCATGTTGTCCTAACTTTCTTCGATACACATTCGGTTCTAGTTCTGGCCAATTCTCCCAATCTCTCACTCATTGCGAACATATGTTCATGGATTGCTAAGGGTCCGGGACTAAACCATTCGCCACCGACTAGGACTGATGAACTTTGCTTAGCGATGAAGCCGCGTGAAATGAATTGCCTACATGCCCAACCGCACTACAGCCATTGTTAGGTGGCATCTGCGCGTACTGAATGCTGCAAGCTGTGTATCTCAAACAATTTACATGTTTAATCATGTCTCCCTCCCGTTATACTGTATATGTACAGTAAATAAGATTCTGGTTCTTACTTTCCCTTTTTAGTGTACTGGGTTTAATGGCCAACAATGTACATTATAACTGATAACTTATATGTTGCTTTGACAATGTTCAAATTAAGGAAAAATTTGAAATTTTATATATATTAAAATCAACCTTTTGGCCTTTTGGGAACATAAGCTGTAATTTAAGTCTATCTCCCATTTCTGCCAGCGATTATTCCGTCTTTAGCCATATTGCTAGCTGATGTTAAAACGCTCCATTAAAGTATTGAGCTTAAATAATCCAATTTGTGAAGTCTCCGACTACATTACCTTTAATCTGAACTTCAGCTTATATTATGTTAAATGCCAGCAAATGATGATATTTTGATTGTAAGCACGGGTTTTGCCCTTGGTTTAAATTTAAATTAAATAAACGGTTATTTAGACCTAAAAAACATTCTAACTCAGAAGGAGCGATAATTCGCTTCTCTGTGTAGTAGTGTCAGAAAAACTTTGATTTTATTTCTACGTAATTTAGTATCCAATAAAGTTCTTTTTTAAAAAAAATTGTAAATTTATAAGCTATTTTATCCCTTTCTGCCTTTGTGATATCACTAAAAGCACACTTGACGCGTATTTTAGAGGTCCTGAGTTCCTATCCCGGCGAAGGACCTCCAAAATCATACCTAATACTAGTATAATCATACCTAATACATAATAAAATCATACCTAATACTAGTATAATCATACCTAATACATAATAAAATCATACCTAATACTTTTACACCTCCAAAATCATGCCTAATACTCCATACATTTATTCGTTTATTTACATATTTCTGGAGTAAATTAAAATAGCTTGAAGGAAAAGTGAAACTGGGAAACAATTAAATGGCTAAATTATTAAGAAAGTAAAAGCAAATATCATAACGTTGTTAAATTACTTACAAATGTAAGTTAATTTTCTGTGAATTTTGTTTCACTTACTAAATGCTCGTAAAGAAAATTTCTCTATAAATGTCGTTTTAATATAGCAAAAGAAATTAATAAACTCTAATATCTACACCTGTAAAACACTAAATTAAGGATTTTCCCTTTCAATTTAACGCCATATCTCTATAAATATGGTTTTAATATATCAAAGGAGAAATTTAACGCCATATCTCTATAAGTGTGGTTTTAATATATCAAAAGAAATTTATTAAAATCTAATAACTACACCTGTAAAGTACTAAATTAAACATTTTGCCTTTCAATTTAACGCCATATCTTTAAAGTGTAGCAAACTACACTTTTTAAAAAGACAAATTTTTAAAAATAAACGAAGTATACGTGTTTTGATTTTGAATAAATAATTTTATTTTTTAAATTATTAAAAGTATAATTTAGGCTTTCATTATCCTTATATTTCAGATTTTGAAATTTCTGTCGGAGATCGACTGGGTTGGAGGAATTCAACCACTAGATGAGCCAATTTGTGGCTTCCATGGAAGCAAATGCGTGGGTTCGTATCGTTTTACTCCTTCATTAACATAGTTTTAAATGTCTGTCATTCACCTAAAGGTTCGTAGAATTTAACAAACGCATGCGATATTTTGTGTTTTCTATGAAGCAAATACATGGGCTTGTACAATTTTATTTTGCTTTCCTAAAGTCTTATATTTTGTAACCTAATTTGCTAACAGAAAGTGAATTAAACTGATGTAGTCTTACATTATACCGTTGTCTGTCTCTTTGTTTGAAAACGTGATATTGCTGCTTGCGTAAGAGTTCGTAATTAATTGAATGCGCACAGGTCCAATGATGGTTTAGAGTTCTGGAACTTTCCGCAGAAATACTCGTAAAGGTGTTCACAGTATCACAGTAATTGTACTTTAAATTACTAAGAACGTTAAATATAATGCGATGCAAAATGCATCTAAAGAGCGAGATACTCGGAACACACGCAGAACTAATAACTAACAACAACAACAATTCAGGAACTGAATGCCCTCTCCGATCTTATATAGCTTTCACCCGGCCGCGGAGACTTTTCTAGTACTTTCTGCTTCTCGAAATTACTGGAAGGCATATGAGGGCCGAATGCAATTATAGTTACACAAATCATCAATTACGATCATTTACAGTACCTATTTATGGTAACCAAGGAACCACACCAAATTGTTGCCAAATGGTAACCAAGTTTGGCAACTTTTGGCGATTTTTCGTCAAATTTGGTGACAAAAATTAATCCTCAAAACCGTTCCTAGCCTGCGAAATTCCTAGCCTGCGAAAATTCCTAGCCTGCATTCTAATTTCTCGGGAGAACATCATTTCTATATGCTTTACATGTTACATTATAAAAAAACATACAACAATTTTACATAGATTTTCACTAAACATCTACCTATGTACAAAATTTGAAACAATATAATACCTGACTTATGATTTCAATGAAAATGCACGCAAATGTTGAATGATTGTATTTCCTTCCATTATTTTTCCCCCATTTTCTAGTGCCAGGTTTTGAAAACTTTTTAAAATATTCGCGTAATTTTCCCTTTCCTTAATACGTTCAGAGAACAAATTCTTGAAAACTTTAAAAAAAATGGATAGATCTACGTAGTTATTGTTTTCGTCTTATTAAGAAAGCCAGCTTTCTTAATAAGACGAAATAATTTCTTAATAATTTCTTAATAATTCTTCTTTCAAAGAAAGCCGAATATTTCCCTTCTAACTGAAATTTATGGCAGGAAAAAACAAGAGCCGATACATCACAGCGGAACAGCACAAACTGATATTCATTTTACTAGTCCATTGAGTGGGCTGGCCCATTCCCTTTTTCTAATTATTTATTAATGATTTGAGGCTTAGGGCGTAACAGAGACAAAAATAAGAAAAGGTGAGATTCAAATTACAAGGAAACAGAAATGAAGATATCTAATTGGACAATGCAACGTTAAGAGACAAAAGAATTTTTTTTAATTTATAAATTATTTGCGGGAAAATTCTTTTGGCATACCAGTTGTGAACAAATCATAAATTGCACAATATTACAACCTAATAAACCACCAAAGATTATCTTCGAATACCATTTAAGTGGAAAAAATTAACCTCGAATTAATCTAATTTCTTTTTTAATCCACCGTTCAAGACAAGTTTTAAATGACATCGAAAATAGCAAACTTTGAAGTTAAATATCATGTTTAAATTTTGCCATACGGGAATCAAACGTTTTGTGCTTTATTTTTTCTAATGAGCAAAGCATCAAAGCATTTTCTAATGAGCATAGTAAGTATAAGAATTTGGGAAACGTATGAAAAATTAAATTTCGTATTTTACACCAAATTCATTTCTGTCAATAACACCATATACCTCCCCAACGCGCCATTTTGGCACACATATATTTCGTTACAAGAACTGTTCATTTTGATCTCTTCTACCTGCATTTTTATTTTTGCCAGTTGTTTTCTGGGCACCTTTTCTTTGCATATATGTACTGAATTAACAAATTGTTCATTGTTTAGATCAAAGAACAACGAAATAAGGAACTGAATAATGATATTTCTCAACAACTGTTCCTGAGATTAATTAATTACGTTCCTATATGTGAAAATGTGTGGTTTATCCTCTTTCAGTTTTTCTAAATTAATGATTAAAAACTCGTGTTATACACTAATTTTTTCACCTAATTAGAATCGCAATTTGGAGCTCAAAATTTACAGCTTTATAAATGATGATAAAGGTTTTCATTTAATTACTGTTGAATGTGTTCGGTAAAAATGTGAAGAATTAATGGACACTTTTAAAACAAAAGTACAGAGCAATTTCTCAAAAATATTGCGATCTTATAGCTTGACGTACAATTTATTTTTAGCCTGTTAAAATTCTGCTACAGCTAGAAATATTCTTATAAATATTTCAAGATATTTGAGTAGAAGTAATTGAAAGGAATCTTTAATAAACATAACAAAATTCTCCAGAACAAGAAAGCGTAATTATAAAGGAACGCCCAAATATTTGGAATAAAATTTTTACATTTGGTAATGTTAAAAAATGTATGAAAGTGCAGAAGAAGGAACTTAATATTCAACATTTCATAATAGCTTTGAATAAAAGTCTTTACTAAATCCTCTTCTTCAAAATGTAATGTTAGAATAATATTAGAGTAATAAACATTTCTTATTTTTCCTGTTTGCATTCTTAAGCAAATTTAGCATGAAAGTATTTCTTAAAGCATGGAATTTCGTAAAAGTTTTAGATATCTCGAGCAGTATTTTATTTCATAAATAAATAATTCTGAACAAGTGAATCAGAAAATAATAGATGAACCGTGTATTTTACTGAGCGGAACTTTAAAATTTTAGCACGCATTTTAATGAGAAAAAATACTTGCATAGAACAAAAGATGTTTATAATGGAAAAAATAAAGCCTTCGTTACAATAATTTTTAGAGACAAAATATTTTATTTGTAAGATCCGTATTTCTGAAGTAAATTAGGAACAAAATTTTCATTCTGCTAGTACTGTTCGAGAAATTACATCTCTATTTCAGTTTATTTTTACGACTTTACTTGGTCCCGCATTTCATTACCCTGAGGAGCATGAGGAGCAGATACTTTTTTCCTCCCAACAAAGCTAAAAAGCTACGCTTTCAAGAAAAGGTCTGAACACTGCATTTAATTTTTGAAAGGCCAAACAAGGCTGTAGCTTTCAGATTCAGTACGTGCGCTTCAGTATATCAAAATGAGCAAGCTAGTTTTTTTCTTCATAGTATGAAACAATAGATTGCATTGATGCTTTAGGACTAATCATGTTTTTTCCTAATGACTAATAATAACTTATTAATTTAAGGTAGTATAAATATTATATTAAAAAGATCTGTTATTAATAAAATATTCCTACTTTACCTGCATTAACCAAAACTATGCAATTGCCACAGGTGCAGCAGCTTGTGGATGGTGTGCGCAGTGGTTTCAAACAATATAAAGTGCTATTTAAAAATTGCGAAAGTGTCACATAATAATTTCAGCCAGTTAAAAAGAAACAATATGTTACTGGAATGATAAGGGGTATATACCATCATTTAGAATATATGCAACTTCAAATTAGCAGATAGTGAGATTCAAAGTGATTCCCGGGCTGCTGAATGAAAAGATACCCATGATTAATTCTGGATCATGTTCTCTTTGTCTGTCTATCTGCAGATGACCAGATCTGAAACCCACCAGTCTTCTTTTATACGACTACTCAAAATCAAATCTGAAAAAAAAAAAAAAAAAAAAAAAAAAACTTTCAGCTCTCCTTGAGGATATTCATTTAGCTTTCGACAAAATTTCGGATGACTCAAACTATGAATATGTCAAACATTCTATATTCCAAAGATACAACGCCGCTGACATTGTCGTCAAAGTTCGACCATTTGAACTTTTATTATGAAGTACATTATGAGAGACACCGAAGTCCTGCAATTACATCACGATAGTTCTTTGGTCACCTGGGGATGAAAATGATGTTATCACTTTGCAGTCACTTATCTCTTGAACGGAGCACCGAACTAAAATCACTCTGATTGCATTTTGTTTCATTTAACCTTCCGAAAAAATATGTGTCGCATGTACTTTCTTAAGGCAAACAATTTTCATCGAAACTCTCCAAACCAAACTTTCATTTTTTCTCAGTAAATCTTCGAAGCAGTGATACCGGTAGACTATTCATATTACGTAGAAGTTGAAATCATTGCTTCAGTATTGCTGTAAAGAAAAGTGGCGTATTTTATGATTAAAGTTGGCATAATGAACCCCACTAAAATAAAAATAAAAATAGAAATAGAAATGGGGTTTGAATGAAATTGTCAGCTTTAATTTCCCTTCGCTAATTTTTCCTAAAGTACAAAATAATGAAATAACTTAGTTTACAATCTTTAATAGAAATATCGGTAAAAGTAATAGATTACTTTTTTGGGGGGAATTTAAATTTTTATTGAAGAGGTAATGCTTTATTAAAGTATAATGTTACGTAGGAGGATGAAACAATACTAATTTTTGGGGTCCCCTTGCTTTGGTTATGAATAATGGAGAATCTTTTCAATATGTGGTTGATTTTTAGGCATATCATTAATGAATTCATAAAGAGAAAAGCAAATTGAAATGGAGGTAGTTAATTGTTAGATAATGTACTGAAAATAATGGTTATGTAATATTTATGTGCATTCCAGATTTTGTTAAAAAAATGTACTCCTCTTTAAGCCCTAATGTGAATACATGAGATTTAATAGGAAAATGCTCTATGTACTATTTGTATTAATTTAACTTGATTATTTACTTGCTCGGTCCCGGTATAGGTACAAACATAACGCAAATATTTTCCTCGTAATTATGATCATAAAAATGTGAACTTTGGTGAAATTGAGTTAAGGGATAAATTAGAAAGAGGGAATATGATCGTTTAAGGGAAGTAAATTTTTCTTTGAGTACTAAAGTTCGGTTAGGTATTTAAACCAGTGATTGAAATGGTGGATGCAGA